AAAAATGAATAAAACTAAACCGTTTGTAAAGTTTAAAAATCAAACAAATCACTGGTTTTCTCACTTTTGTTATGGATCAGTTTTTTTTCTATTTACTTAGATAATTCTTTTCTTCATCGAAGTCTCAAATTATGATAAAGTAATAAAAATGAATATGTAATTATAAATGAAATGAAATCCACGTTCAAAACTATGCAGTTTTTAAAATTAATTCTGAATTATTTTTAAAGTCAGACTATATCATTTCCCAAAAGTACTACGTTCTTCAGTGAAATTCAGAAATTATAGCAAAATGAAAATGTCTAAGAGGACCGGTAGGAGGAGTCAAGAAACTTGAGCTTTCTAAAAATAAAATCCTAATAACTAGTCTGTTTCTTTGCTGAATTCCGCGCAAAGCTATTCGAGGGCTTTCTGCACTAGTCGTCCCTAAGTTTGAAGTGATAGACTAGAGGAAAACAGCTTGTCAACGCCCCTAATCGCCAGCTCTTGAGCTATTCTTAAAAAAAAATAGTGGGATTGACTGTCATCTTACACCGCCTACCATGGCTGAAAAGGCGAGCATGTTCAGTGACGGGATTCGATCTCACAACTCGCATATTATGAACCGAATACCTTAACAATCTGAAAATAACTCCATATTCTACAAAACGTAGTTAACTGTCAATGACTGATCGTTTGCTTCTGATATGAATAATCATGATAATATAATGAACAAGTTGTTAACTAGATAATATACTTCTAAAATATAGAAAAGTATATTTTTTATATTCCGAAGCTCAATATGTATTTATATTTGGTATTTTGTATTTATCTTAGATTAATAATATATCAGTATTGTAATAATTTCAGATGACTATGAGCAACGCATACACAAGAAAAGGTACATATCGTTTGCTGTTCTTCACAATATTACTGACCTTGGTCATCAGTAGAAGACATGGCAGAAGAAATCATTCAGGCAAGTGAAGTTTTATACTTAAAATTATTCTGTTTGTGTCCAATATTTTTTCTTTAATACTTTCTAACTAAAGTCACAAAATAATTAGTAATGACACTTAGAACTGACAATAAGCTATATCGTTTGTTATTTTAATCATGCAGTTTTAGCGTTGGAAAAATAAATCTAAACGTGAGACCAAACACACTATATTGTAATGAAATTAAATGTGAAAATAATTTACAAAATTTCAACGTTAAATATATATTTGTTCTAAAGGAGTTCTGAAAAAAATGTTATATCAATATTCTACCATTTGCAATATTGTGATTATCTTTTATCATTGATCACTGGCAAAAAATATAAAACAATTTATTCTCCTATAGGAGAATAAATTGTTTTATATTTTCTCCGTTCCTCTTGATGGATTTGAGAAAAATAGCACTAGCTTGGAATATGTATCCTAATTAAACTGAAATAGATATACATATATATGTTTGTAGGTAACGATGCGTATTACGCCCGTAACTATGGTAATATAATTTCACCAATCACATACAACTTTACAGATGAAAGGAATATCTCTAACGTCATTACAAAGTATATTTAACACAATACTGGTTTGGTGTTTTAATTATATGTAAAGGAAGATTAGTTCTATTATATTGCTTTATGAATTATGGGATATTTCAGTAGGTGATGTGTAATTACTGTATATGGTTAAGATATACATTCGCTTTTCTAGGAAGAAGTGCTGGTAGTTACTCAAACTACCACTGTTTTCCTGTAATACATTTATCATAAAAATAACTGATTTGTTGAAAAATTTAAATAGCTTTCATTCTACTTTAACAAGTTGTTTTAGTGTTGCGTTTTTTTAAAAAAATAATATTTTCTTTTGTTTTATCAGCATGCGGATATTTTCACGTAATGTTTTGATTGTTTATTTGGGATGTTTCGAAATTATTTTCAGTCTAATGTTTTTGAAACTGTATTTTATACTAAAATTTGCTATACATTTGTTTTCTCTTCTCGTTCCGTATAGCTTCCAACAGTGAAGAATCATGCTCAAATGGTAATTGTGTTAATGTATTAAAATGTCGAAAACTGTTACTGCAGAACCAATATCATCTGTTGGAACAAGCTATTTGTGGGACTGAGGGTATCATTCCAAAGGTTTGCTGTCCGATATCAGACGAAGTAACAACAGAAACATATGAACCAAAAGAACCAACTCCTCCCCCACTAACGGTTCAACCACCTAACCTTCCAAGAAGTAAGTAATATATTATTTACCGACACTATTGACTAATGATATATAAACTACAGTGTGCTGTTTAGAGTGACATAACTTTGTTACAGATTATTTTCTGGAACTTCTATTTCACACATATATACAGATAAAAAAACTTATAGGTCAATGTGATGGTTACACGAAAAAAAATATCTTGAAAAGTTCACATGTGTGGTATATAAACTTATGGTTCTCACTCTGTGGTCAGAGGATCGTTTGAGATTTGTAAGCATTCTCAAGTGGGTCGGCAACAGTAAAAGTTTCAACATTACAGTTAAAAAACGACAAGAATAACTTCGTTCGATTAATTGAAAAGCATTTTTTATTTGAAAATTTGATCTATTTATAGATTTCTGTCAGTGTTGGTTTTATGCACTATAGAGTCAGCTTCATCAAATAGACGTATCTGAGTATGGGTAGCTGTAAGATTTCTTTGGATCGTGAAGGGGTCCATGGGAAGATAAAGGTTGGGAAATACTGTTCTAGATCTCACTTTATGAATTAGTAAAAGTAATGAAAACAGTAGAAGTGCCGCGATTGTCATAATACTTTTTATTCTCTGAAATTAGATATGACATTGAACTTTGATTTGTTTTGCTAAAAAAATTATTATTAATATCTATGTTGGGTTTTATTTCTCTTTGTATTGAAGATAACTTGAATTTCATCCTGGTTATAAAGATAATAGGCTAAACCACACAAGTCTAATTTCATATCGGTTTCGTAAACAGTAGACATAGATTTTTAATAAAGAGTTTGCTTTGATACAAATATCATTCAGGCATCATTTTGACACGCCTACGGAATTAGTGATAAAGGTAAATGCCGAAATGCTATGGGTAAGCATAAGAAGCTGCAATAAGCTAGTATTAAAACGAAATGTTATCGGTAAACATAAGAAGCTGC